ATTGTGCAGAATCTTTAGTTCCAGCCATTACCATTTTTAATATTTTTTCTTTTAATTTCTGTCTTGAAAACGTCAAATATTTTCAGTTTAGTTTTAATGAAAACGATATCACTTTGATTTACTTGGTACAAGAATGTTCAAACTATTGAAATACATAGTTCAAAAGTCGTGAAAAATTACGGTATTTTTCGTCTACTAATGCGATGAACTGTAACGGGTTCAATATGTTTAGTCGCAGTAAATTTTGCATAGTTGCATTTTTTCGTATTTTCAACAGATATTTGCGTACTTTTTTCATATCTAAAACTAACAGTCCAATATGACTTGTCCGACACTGTATGTGTAGACTTCAATGAAATATTTTTGTATTAACATTTCAACGCTTTCATGTTGAACATTTATAAATAAAGGTAAATACCTACGTAACGTAAATATGTTTAATTGTCATATCCCATGATATCCATGATATATGGTTTCCCGCAATTAATGCACAATTAGCGTTTTCAGTGGTGTGAAATTTGACAAATTATGTATGTGTTAGATCCGTTGCTTCTTTTTGTTGACATTTCATATAAAACTACATACATATATAATTGACATTTTGTAGCAGCAGTAGTGATTTTCGGCCGAGCTCCTTCTTCAATTTGAGGTTTTGCTTCCTGAAGTTTTTACAACAAGTGGAAGGACCTTTAATTTATATTAAGCCGCCTCCGAACGCCTGATGGATTTTTGTGAGGAGCGACCAAAATTGGAAAAAAAATTATTCTTATTTTTTTAAGTAATTTACTCAATTTTGGCTGTTGGTCAGAGTTCGTAACCTTGACCATCCATTTGGTGGTACGCACTGCTTACTGCTTGGCTACTGTCCCCGCCATTACATCCATACATAATGTAAGGAGTAAATACTAGTTATTAACTAGAATCAATGATAGCCTGTAAATATAATTGGAAGGTTTAAGCTTGAGGGGAGAGTTGTCGGAGGTGTCTTCCCAGAAAACCCTCCGATGGAACTCTCATTCAGGCTACCTGATCATTGTAGTGTTTTTCAGGTGGGGATATCTGCTATCATAGATGCTGCAAAGCAAATTAGAGGCAGCTTTCAATGTAAAGATATCTTCATTTTCAGCGATAGTCAAGCAGCACTGGGCTCGCTAACGCTAAACTCCAAATTAGTGCTGAACTGTCGCCGATCTCCGCAGAAAGTGGACAAATAGAACAGATTGTCTGTCATATGGGTCCCTGGTCACAAGGATATCGAGGGAAACTGTTATGCGGATGAACTTGCTAGGCGGGGTACGACCAAGCAGATTCTTTCCGATAAAGAACGCATTGGTTTGCCTTTTTCTATATGCAAACTGCTTCTCAAGGAATTCATACATGAAAAAGCCACTACATCACTATCAGCTGCCAGGCACACATGGCAGAAATGGGATAAGAAGAGAGCACGAGATATGTACTCCTTAAAAAGAGCAGAGCCTCATGTTCAGAGTTATAAAAGTTCTGACAGGCCACGGTCTGATAGGGCGCCACGCAGAAAGCCTAGGGGCTTCCTGCAGAAGCTGCAAGGAGAATGAAGAGGATAAAACGATCACCCATCTCTTATGCGACTTTGGGGCCCTACTGCTGGATAATCTATCGATTATGGCTGACGTCAAAGCCATGGATCTACTGAGGTTCCTTAAAGAATCAACATGAACGGAGAATGAAGCCTGATGATTTAAGTTTTTGTGGCATCACAATGGATCTAAGTCAGGCCTAAGTGAATCCGGTCTGTAGCCACCGCAACCTAATCTGGCCTAAATAGAATCCAACTAGTTTACTTTATTACAACAATTAGTTCAGCTTTCATCTATTTGCTATGTAAGCAACTTTTATTTTCAACACGGTGATGTTCTACGAACTGTCCATTTTCAGTCTATGCATCAGCTTCATACTAGTTAAGTACTAGTTGATTTAGGCATGTTGAACTACTACTACTAAGTAAATAAAATGAAAATGAGGACGCCGGCTGCGAGAATCGAAATGAAGGTTTTTGGATCCTACTTCTCAAACCAAGATTCGTCACCTAAATTTGCTAGATTGACCATTTTCGAATTTGTTTAGGAAAAATTGAGCAAAGTGCACTCGAGCCTCCTTTGGGCCTCATTTAAAATTCTTGGAACCCATCGATCAGATTTCTTCGTACATCCGAGATGATTTTATTATTTAATATTCGCGATACAGCCATGGCATTCAAGCACAATTCATTAGCAATTTGGACTTCTCCAGAGCCACAGTGACGTCAACTGTGGAAGATTTTGGTCTATCTTCTTGGGGCTCGACCTCTACGGCAAAATGTTCGGCTTGAGAACTTTGGCACTACTTAGAAACAGTCCTTGAAAATAGTGCAATTGTTCCTTATGCAATTTGGTATTCACTGAATATTTGTATTGGCTGTAAATTACGACGAAACCCGAAGAGAAGAACATGACGAATTTCTGTTTGCGTTGGTGATGGAATTGTATCTGAGCTATGCTCAGCATATCACTCCAAAAGCTGAAAGAAAAACTAATAAAAATAATTGCAAAGCATCTGCAATTTTTTAATTTAACAAAAACAAATTGAAAGTCATCAACTCACCGAGCTTTTGTTAATTCCCTCATATAAGCCCCGCTTACGCGGTAAGGACCGCAAAATTCCTTACAATTCCACCATAAACCGAGCCAAAACACAAAGCGGAGATAATGAACTTAATATGAGGATTTAACAAAAATTTAAAGTCAAAAATATCAGCGAGCTCTTTATGGCTCGTAAATAACGAACATCATCGGGGGGTACTTTCAGATTTTAGTAGTTACCACCAGACGTGTGCCAAACAAAAATATTTAAATATGCGCGCCACAAAATTAAATAAATTGGTATACTTAAATGCTCATTTGAATATTTTAGCACCACATTTACTTATCGAAATGTACTGGCGTATTTTAAGGACGCTCTCAACTTGTTGAGAACTCTGAAGTGTAAACAGAAAAAGGTATCGTGCACCACCCAAAGACGGCTGAAATGGTGAATAAAAATACGTAAAACCACACGCAATGACGTTTGAATGGAAAACCCTTAACAACAAAATAAAGACACACTACGCACGTGTCGTTTTCACACGCAAACTAAAAAAACAACTACACTTCTTGAGCACTTTCTGTGTGGAAACAGGCATACATACGAGTATGTGTGTGTGTTTGAGTGTGTGTAGATTACGCAAATAAAACGAAATGCCAACAAACTCGGCAGAAAATGCAGTTATATTTGGTATACTTCTATTTATTTATGTGTTCATTGTCCTTTCTACCTTTCTATGTATTGTTATGAATGATTGTGTTGATGTATATATATGTATGTATTTACAGGTGTGAGTGTTTGTGCGGCAGCGTGAGCAGTCACAATCATTTTTCTTATCTCCTTTAATTAATTAATTTACGAAAAGTTTCACAAAACCGGAATATTATATATAAAAAGGTAAACACACACACATACATACATATGTACTTAAGCACGCTTTGCTAGTGGAAACCCTTGTCAGATATTATATATAAAGCGTGCTTTTTTGGGCAAGTGGCTTTCAGAGAAACATAAAACGCATATAACTTAATGGTTGATGGAATAAATGTTGCATCGGTAGACAGAGTCTACCCGTCCAGATTCGAATAACGCGATTGCCCGCCTAAGGGACAGCGGAGCGGCTGGAGCTGAGCTATTTAAACATGGCGGTGGTAAGCTGTAGAGGTGCTTGAATCAGCTACTTTGCATAATATGGGCAGATTTAAGTATTCCCGACGATTGGAATCTAAGTGTGCTCTGCCCAATCCACGAAAAGGGCGATCCCACAGTCTGCGCCAACTACCATGGGATATATAATTAGCGCTTTCCTACCACTGAAGCGATTTTCCGCCGAGTTTCTCCTTCAATTTCTTGATGTTTTTCCAACAAATGGAGGGACCTACAGTTTACATTAATGAATTTCTTATGAGAAGCATTTACTTCACTTCCCTTCCTGCCTGGGGGCAACCGCAATTGGAAAATTTCACTTAATTTTTTATTTAAATTAATTTTCTAAAACGTTGGTCGTACAAGCATTTGAACCCGGGTCGTCCAAGTGGCAGTACGTAGTGCCTACAACGTGGCTATCGCGTCTTTGGGATCAGACTCCCAAATATCGTAAGTCTATAAGCACACTTCCAAAACATTCTCCATTGGCTACAACATTATTGTCGGACTCATTTTTGAAATGCGGAACCAATTTGAACTCTCTTTGCTGATTAAACACACATGGATGGCGATTCAATAGGGTCTTTTTCCTTACTCTGCCCATAGCACCAGTAGTACCACGGTATTTCTGAGGATATGCATTAGCCACTAGAGTAAATGTGCGAAACTGATCCACGGTTGCTCGAATAACTAACTCTGCTAGGCGATTATGTCGATGTGGTTTTGGACGCAATGCGCGTTGTGTCGCGCGAACCAAACGAACTCTTGCGCCGAGCTCCTCCTCGAAATGTGTTTTTCCAAGAAATGTAGAGCTTATACTAAGCTACCCCCCAACAGCTGATGGATTTTTTATGAGCCGCTTTTACTTCATGTCAAAAATACCCCGTATGTGTAGAAATTATCTTCCGGGGGGAAGGGACAAGGGCCATTGGCAAATTTAACTTAATTTTTTATTTGAATTTCAAATGTCGCTTAGACCAGGCCTCGCACACTGACGTTGTAGTACATAATTCTAACCCCTCGGGTTTCGCAATCCGTTAAAAGTATTGCCTCATTGAAAACCACACGTATAAAACTCACCCTTTATATACTCGTATATACAAATATACATGCATTTATTACCAGTGCTCTCTCAAGTCAACCGAGCAAAGTTATTATTAAATTTATTGTTTTCTTCTTATGCTTTTATGTCCTTTCATGTCACCCCATTCTCGTGGCATCAATTGAATTCCACTGATTGACATTAAATTATCAAGATCTTCACGTGTGGGAAAATCATCGATTGTGGCGCGATTTTTGGGCAATCGATACGATGATGCGTACACCCCAACCATCGAAGACTTCCACCGCAAGCTTTATCGTATACGCAATGAGGTCTATCAGCTGGATATATTGGATACGTCGGGCCATCATCCGTTTCCCGCAATGCGACGGTTGTCCTTTATGACCGGTAAGTATGCTATATACATACAAACATGCACATATGTATACATATAATAACGTAATTACAATCACACATATTTACACAAGACCTCACATTAATTACATTATTTTTGGTTTCCTCACTCTCCACTGCCTGCGGGCATTTTAAACACTTTTCTTTTAATTTCCCGCATAAGAAAAATAAACCGTGAGTGCACCATAAGACACCAAACGATAACAATTCTTGAAATTAACTTTAAAGGCAACATAAAGTTGGTTGCAAGTAAAACCAAGTGCTTTGTTGGCAAAAGGCAATGGGTTGGCCGAAAACCAGCGAACCATTTTGTCAACCGGATACGCACTGGGATGGCAAAGAGTCCACAATTGGCAGTAAAAGCATTTCCATGTGGCAGGTTCAGTTACAATGTGTCTGGCTTGGGACATGTAACTGTTCGAGCAATGTAAATGTAAATCACAGCTTTGTACAATGTACCGGTGGCCACCCTGTAGGGCAAAATACTGGAAGGAGACTCTACACCAACTAACGGGTGTTCCAAGTAGAGGTACTTTTTGCAATAGCCTTTTTTGGCAGGTCACGCGTGAGTCGTGTCAAGCTGTTCATCATGGTAAGACTTACACCTGAACAAGAACCGCTACAAATCGTTCAGCTATAATACGAGAATTCACGTTCTGTCAAAATAATCTGCCTACTGGCCCTACTCTTCGCAACACCATCATCCATATTGAGACCCAGTATTCATTACTGAATGATATTCGACCGAATAGAACAAGTGCAGCCCGCAGTGAAGACAAAATCGCGGCCGTAGTTGATTCGGTGCCGTTAAAATACAGGTTTTCCAGCAACTTAAGCCGTTCGACCTTCCCAAGCGACATCACTCTGGGCTCTAGAAAAGTTTCAAAAATATCCGACGTTTTCAAGCCAAATTTTGTTCAGCGATGACGGCTATTCCTAGCTCAATGGGTATGTTAACAAGCAAAAATGCCGTATTTGGGAAGAAAAGCAACTTAAAGCGATTCAAGAGCTGCCATTTTATCCAGCAGAACAGCCGAGATGTGCTTTGGTTTGTGGACCGCTGGATTCATTGTTTCATATTTATTCAAAATTGATACCGATGAGAATGTAACCGTTGTTTTCGATCGTTATACGGCTATGATAACCAACATGAAATTGTCTAAAATTGAAGCTCGTGATCTCGGCGACATTTAAGTTCAACAAGACGGCGCCACATCACACACAGCGCATCAATCAATGGATTAATTGGGAGAACACTTCGTTGAGCAGATAATTTCACATTATAGGGCGGTCGATTGGCCACCAAGATCATGTGATATCACACAGTAATACTTTTTTCTGTGGAAATATATAAAGTCTAAAGTCTATGCGGACGATCGCGGTTCGATTAAGACTATGGAGCGAAACATCATGCGTGTTATTCACCAGTTACGAGTTGAATTGCTCGAATGAGTCCCTAAAATTTTAACCCAACTGAAGGATCAATCTTCAAAAAATAAATTCCAAGAAAAGTGCTTTCGAATGATATTAAATCATCTCCATTGAATTTGAATTTTCAATATTTTTTTCCTTAAAAATGTAGGGAACCTCGAAAAGTTCGTTAAAAAAGTAGGAAACCTCGAAATGTTCGTTAAAAAAGTAGGGAACCTCGAAATGGATCGCCCCTTAGTTTAGCTTTTCATCATTTTCCATGTAAGAAACTGTTGTATTTCAAACGACGAAGTCCTAAAAACTGTCAATTGTCCGTTTATGCATCAGCTTTATACTAGTTATATACTAGTCACTTCGATATATTGAATTTCTACTTTAGCAAAAAATAAATAATAATAAGTTTCCCGCAGTGAGTTTCGAGCCGCGAACCCCATGCGCTTCAGTGATATTCTCTAACCGGTAGGCTATCGTTGTGGCGCAAAAAGCGATAAGCTCTAACTACTCAGCTATCGTGACGATGTAGCAATCAACGTCATTTTTCGCACTTCAACAGTGTGAAACAGAGAGTGGAACTCAGTTGTGGGAAGCTATGTAGATGCAATCACAACAAATGGTGATGGAAATTATTATTATTCTCATTACTGGTGAACTGCTTTACATACATATAACCAACTGCTATGACATTTCACCTTCAAAATACTGGTCTTTAGCTAAAATTCATGCATAAATACTGCTCAACCTTCTCCCTGCAGGGACTTTTACGCAGAACAATACACACAGCCATAAGTGTTGGGCTGGGCAAATGACGAAAAGCAATAAAAACCAGATCCCGGGTGGTAAGGATAAATGTTGTTTGGCTGTAAACAGAGAAGCATAAAGATTCAGACAGCAATGACAATGTTATGGATGATGAAAGTAGAAAAAGCCATAGGAACGGTCATCATTTTTGTCGAAAAGACACACACACATACTTATGTATGTACGATATGTATATGAAAATCAAATATCCCGCTAAGCTAGTTGAGCACCATCGAAGGAAAGTTAGTCCGTCTGCTTTTGTGGGCGGCGTGCACATTTGCACAAGGACAATACGTTTGCACATTTACTAAGCTTTGACTTTGACTTGTTCCGTGGAAATGTAGGCGACAACATTGTTTGTTCTAAAATGATCTGAGCATAATGTGGATTTAACACCTCGTTCTCACTGTTGCAGTGAGGGCCCGACACTTATGTTGCTCGTCACTCAAATCACCTAATTTTGTAATTTTCATTGGACAATTGGAGCGGAAAATCAAGTGGGAAACAGTCGACTTGTTGTTTGTTACTGTGTAAATATTGGAAAGCTTCGTTGGCTGGCCCAATTGCGCGGAGTACGTTAAAGGTCAAGTACTGTTTAGCAAAAAGCTTAGAACAGCAAAAAAGTGTTTTCTGAAATACACAAATTAAGAGTGAACATTGCTATCGTCAGCCTCAGTAACGCGCCGTTAGCTCAGTGTTCTCCAGATGAAGAAGCCAAGTGAAATGATCAAGTAGTGAATGAAAACGAGATGAAATATCAGCTCAGTTATGAAGCAGTACCTAGTGGCAGATCCAGTGGAACCTTTACTAGTTCTTTTGGCGTGAAATAACGAAAATTAGAAAGTGCTGACATGCTACTGTTGACTTGGATATATGCCCACGTCAATTAAGAAGCGGATCTCTGGTCTGAGTACTTTGTAGAATGACATAAAGGTTTACAGTGAAGTAAAGTTCATGTGGCTACGGACCTGTGGCCATAGCACTCAAATAAGTTGGTCCAATTTGATACCAATATAATGATTCTATCCTCATTGTCGTTCACCTCAACTGGATAGTCGAAATGGTAATTTCTCAGAAAATAATGCCGCGTGGCGCTTAGTGAACGCTTTAAATACTCATTCGAAAGTATACGTAACAGCGCGACAGACACTGTAGAGGTCCAATAGGCCCATTGGAGAGTTTCGACGAGTTGATCACGTAACCAATCCTTTCACTGAGTTTTGCGTCATCTGAAAGACGATCGTTATTCCTCTTTGCGAAAATTAGATTACAAAAACAGGACTTAGGGATTGGATAGTCCAATTCTTTCGGAATTTTTATGAAAGATTGCATTCGAGCGTGTCCTTTAAGACTAAGCTGCGCACCGTCTAATTATTGTAGCTTGAGTTTGTTGAAGAGTTCTATAGGGCTCTAAAGGTAGAGAAAAGTGTTTAATGGTTTTGTGGAAGTCGATGGAGAAGCTCTGTTAAAAGGACAGACGCCGTGAAAAAGGATGAGTCCCAACACCTTCGTATACCGTGAACCAGGCATTATCTTTTGCCAACAGTCTATTCGCAAGGGTACGCGATATGCGTAGCTTTGCTTTTGCTCTCTGCCATATTTTGGATCAGAAGACCATAATAGAGCTGTTGGGATAATGAAGTGAAGAACAAAACAGGTGCCTGTCGCTCAAGAGTAACTGAGAATATTGCTGCTGCAGCCCAAAGTGTAGAAGCAAACCCAGTTTTGTCCATTACAAACTTCATTACACCATATTTCAGTTAACAACAGAAATAAAGTCGACCGATCATTAACAAAGTCTTTGCCATGTCTTTATTGATTGGGTCCTTGAAAGGCATTAAAATGTTCGGGATTTTCATCCAAAAATTAGCTTAACTAATGATGATGACCATTTCCACCGACATGGATTGCACAAGCAAGTAAGGGAAAAGTTTCCAGACCGTATTATCTCTTGAAGAGGTGATCGCAATTGACACTTTGTTATTCTAATTGTGGTCACTCCTAGGCAAAGAATGTCAAGGTCAAGAATAGGTCCTTGTCGGAAAAGAATTCAGATGACCACCCCAACTTGGAGGAGGGACTTGGTGTCTGTCGATTCTCCTTTTACCGGTCTTTTAAAACATTTGGCGCATGGTGAATATCTGGTCTATGGTTGATTTACCAGGTCTAAAGCCACACTGGTAAGGTCCAATGTCAGCGTACGGTTGTTTTCTATTCGAGTTTATCACTATCAAGCAATGGCACGCATTTCCCAGCCTAAGCGAAGACCCCTATTAAGTTTTTATTGTGCACATATTTGAATTTATTGTATTTTCTGATAATCCATTGAAATGTTTTTCTTAAAAATATCTTTAAAAATAAGTAAAAGGTGAAGTAGTGCATTAAATCTCTGCCAATGGCAAGATATTATATATAGATTTACATATATGGCCGATTTGTCTCCATTGTTTGAACAAAGAGATATATTTTTGTTGTGCAATTATCTCTTCATTCGTGTACTTTGTCCAGCATGTCGGCAGCAAATATTAAATTTTAAAGCTTTATGCTTTTACGGGCTCTAAGCTAAGCTACCTACATGCATTGTTACATACATATTGCACATGTGTATCCTTATCAAAAACTAAGCATTTCGTCTTAACAACATAAGAAAATAGCTACGATAGGGATTTTCTTTTATATACTCAGTGAGAAGACCACTTTGTAGGCGTTTGGCATATGATCCCCCAACGCAGACAAAACGGTATATTTTAAGACGATTTGATTGC